CGTGTGTGTGCTGAAAACAGAGTTAGAAACTCAAATTCTCTGCTGGTTTTTCACCTTTCTTTCTGTGCTCCATAAGTTATAATCATATTCCCAATGAAAAGAATCTGTTGGCTGATGCCTTTAATGAGGTCAATCAGCTGAAAAATGAGAAACACTCAGGGTTGATTTTTGGTAAGAGAATGCACAATTTTAGTGTTTTTATATATATATATTATATACAGTGGGTTTTTTAATATAAGTATATATATTTATAACCCACTAAAAATATATATTTATAAGTGAATGCTAGCTAGCTAAAATAAATATATAATATATAAGAAATATATAAGAAATATATAAGAAATATATAAGAAATATATAAGAAATATATAAGAAATATATAAGAAATATATAAGAAATATATAAATATATACTAACTCAAATAAATATACACTAAGTTATAAATATCTATTATAAATATATAAATATATACTAACTGAAATAAATATATACCAACTAAATATACAAATAAATAAATATATAAGTAATAATTTACATACATAATATAATTTTGTATATTGTATATATACAATATATACAATATATATTTATATTAATTAATATATTAAATATATAATTATGTATTATTTACATAATACATAATTATATATACAATATATAATATTGTATGTATTACATAATATTATAAATAATAACCTATTACATAATATATATACTATATATACAATACATATATTTATATTATTTAATATATATTAAATATATAATTGTGTATTATTTATATATTCAGATAATTTATGAATAACAATTTATTGTATATAAATATGTACTAACTAAATACATAAATAAATATATATAGTAACGCATATAATAGATATACTAACAAAAATAAACATATACTAAATATATAAATAAATATATTATAGATATAAAATTCTATACTAACAAAAATAAACATATACTAATGAAATATATAAGTAAATATATATAATAAATGTATAAATATATACTTACTAAAATATGTACTAGCTAAACACATAAATGAATATATATTCTAAATATATAAATTTATACTGACTAAATAAATATATACCAACTAAATATATAAATATATATAAATATATACTAACTAAAAGAAATATATACCTGCTAAATGTATAGATTAATATATATTCTAAATATATAAATTTATACTGATTAAAATAAACATATACCAACTGAATATATAAATAAATATATATTGTAGATATATTTACTGATTAAAATAAATATATACTAACTGAATATATAAAT